TAGAAAAATAGTCAATTAGTCAATGACCAATAGAAAAGGGCAATGATTCCTGGAGGTTCAGAGAGGCCAGTGGAAGAGTTGTAACCAATTTCAAATGGAGAGAAAGAGGGTATTTACACCTCTGCAGGGCCTTATGTCTCCATCTCTCTCGCCTCTTCTCCTTCTTGAAAGGTACCCACTTCTAACTCCTTGGAAGTTGTTCTAAGCTTTCTCTTTGTTCTTCAATTTCTGGTCATTATACTGAAACTTGTGCAGGTCACTGTTGCTTTCTATTCACGCTGCGTGTGCTGCTCCGGTTTTATTTTCAGTTTCCACCCTCTTTTGCTTCTGATTCCTACCTTGTCTCCACTCAACTTTTTAGCTCAGCCGAGTAACTGAACCAGGTCAACTGGGTTCAGGAAACCAGGACCCTCAACCCCCAACAGGTATGTTATTTCAAGTTGAAAACATGGAGAAATTTTAGTGTTAGAAAAGGCTAGCTGACCTGTCCCTTCCTGCATGCAGCAAGTCATCAGAGATTCTGCTGAGAGGGATACCTTCCCTGTCCCGGGGCAAGAAAATAGCCCTCATTACCAGCATGGACCTAAATACTTATCCAAGTAGCCTTTATCTTCCATACAGTTTAGACCTTCCTATATATCTCCTAGTGACTTTGCCAGAACACCTTGGTCTTGTCATTTCTTCCCAAATTTATAGTTCTGTCTTTTTAAAAAGTATAAACTCATCTTGCTTTGGCCCTTTCTTGGGTTTTCATTTCTTTTGCATGTGGAGATCCCCCTGTACAAGTAACACTAATAAAATCTATATGCTTTCCACTTCACTTGTTAATCTCCCTGCTCCCAATCTGGTTTCTAGATCCAGCCAAAGAGCCCACTCAGAGCTAAATGAGATGGTGGCAGAGTGGAAGGGTTGGTGATAATCTCTGGCTCCTCTACATACCTACTCCAGAGATTCTTCCATTCCTAGCAGACTAAGACATATTTTATGTATCTAAAGATCTGATATGGATACCATTTCTAGCAAACATTTTTTTCTTCAATCACTATCTATAATGGAGAGGATAAATATAAAACTTTCACACTGAAAGAATCTATGAAAGTTACAAATTCTGATTTCAGAACATTCTAAACTCTAGAGGAATATATATATATATATATATATGCCTATCACTTGGTTTTATCTGGAAGTTTGATTAAATATAATTAAAATACCAAAAATAGGGATTTGGGTCATGGATCACAAATGTTTACTCTATGAACCTGAAGTGAACTTTGGACTTTTTTTTTTCTCCTTACAGTCATACAGCTATGGTTAATTGTCAACAAACTTTGGACTCCCTTGGACCCAGTATCGTATACGTGGAGAAGCACCCCCTCTCATTCTCCTGCCCTGCCCCCAACAAGCCACATATGAAAGCAGCCAAGATTCTATGTATGTTTTATTTGTAAATATACATTCCTTAGCTGAGTCACTTATAGTCTGCAGAGGATTTTTTTTTCACCCCCCTCTCTCTTAAAATATTTACACTGGCTAAAAACCAGGGGAGATACTCTTGGGCTGTGGCCATAGTACAGTTTTACTCAGTATTTATCAAAGCACTCACTCGCCAAATTCCCGTGATAGCTACAGCATGAAATGCAATCACCACTTTCAGTTTCAAAGTTCAAATGCCCATTATGATAGATAAACACAGTACAGGGCAGGATAGTGGAAGATATATTCCTGGAAGAGAGGGTGATGTGCCTGGAGGAGAGGGTGATGTGCCTGGAGGAGAGGGTGATGTGCCTGGAGGAGAGGGTGATGTACCCATCTTATCTTTCAAATAGGACCTGGACAACCGGCCTAACAATCCTTAGACTCTATATACTTCCTCTGCTGGAAAATGAACATGTGGCTTCTTCTCCCTGAAATTCATCTTCTTTTCTCTGATTCTTAAAAATAGATTTAAATTCTGCCAGGATTTTTGTTCTGCCATGACTGAATTAACTAGCTGTGACGTTCTCTATGGACCAAGAAGTACTGACTTAAGTCATGGCAGTAAAATTCAGGGTAAATAAAGGTTTCACTTTGCATTTGAAAAGCAAAAAATAGCCTTTATTGATCAAAATAGGATGAAAACATATCCACATGCAATCATGTGGTTTGACCATTCAAATTGGAGGAGTGGAGTTGAGTCACATGTTTTAAACTGATTAAATAGTGAAAGGAGGGGTCTCCTTCAAGGAAAAAAAAAAAGATAAAAGGAATACTGTGTAAGAGCAACAGAAGAAAAGCAAAGTAGGAGCAGATGTGGACGATCTTTCAAGAATCAGCATAGAATTTACATAGTAAGGAAAATAAAGCAGTTGTATATCATAAGTTGGTCAGGGTGACGCTTATAGAAAATATCAGGAAAATGACAAAAATGTATCCACCCAAGGAATGTCAGAGTGCCTCTTCTTTATCCTCCTCAAGAGCTCTAACTTATCCTTCAAGTCTTAGCCCAACAGCAGGGAAGTCAAGGCTGATACGGCCAAGAAGCACCCAGTGTCTCCTTCATTCCCTTGGCACCTGCCCATGGCTTCATTATAACATCTACCACTCTTTAGGGATCATTTACACTTCTGTTGCCTCTTTTCCAAGACTGTCAGGATTGTAACTTATTCTTCTTTCTTTTCTTGTTGCCTAGCAAAGGTAATGGTTATCTATCCATTTAAGCTCTGCTGAGATGCTTTTAGTAGAGTCAGTCACAGGTCTAAACATTTTGAAGAATATATAAAAATCAGTAAGATACTCTGACAAAGATGGAGTAGATAGCCTCCTTTACATACAGATGAAAAACCTATATAAAACAAACATAGGAAAACTTTGAATGGAGGATAAAGTAGATAGGCTAGGAACGTTGGGGAATCCCAGTAACATTATGAAGAATTCCCTGAGTTTTCTTTTTAACTCATGTATCTCACACTTGGCACTGAAGAAATTTGTAACCTGGAAATGTCAATGAGTACAGGCAAAAAAAAAAAAAAAAAAAAAAAAAGAAAGCTCCAAGAGAGCCCTGTTCTTTCTCTAGCCAAATGAACAGAAAATGGGTAGACTAGCAAGAGCAAAAATTACCTTATCCCAAGAAAACACCATGGAAAAAAACATGACCCTACCCACATTAGCAAAGGCTGAATGATGAGGGACCTAGATATCCACCCTTACCAGGCTATAAAGAGGTACCTGACTCCCCTGCTAGAGAAGGCTGAATGGAGAACTGGGAATTTCATCGTCACCTGGTGACAATGAAGCCTTTCTGGTCAGCCCTGTCCCATAGCATCAATGGAGATCACAGAGAACATGAAAAGGTCCTTCACATCCCAGCCAGGGAGGTAGCAATGGATGCCTAACAGCCAGCTAAATTCCCACCCTGCCTAGAAGTAACAAAAGGCCCCTCACATCCCAAGTGTCAATAGAGATTGAGTGGGAATCTGGACTCCTAGTCACACCTGAAAATAATAAGGCAATGCCCCCAATTCCCCTGCTAGGGTGATATCAGAGAGAGTTAGCTAAAGCAAAAGGTTTAAATTAAATACTTCATAAGTTCCATAGTCTAATAATACCTAAAACATCCAGGTTTCAATTAAAAATCATTCATCATATCAAGAAGCAGGAAATTCTTTTTGAATAAGAAAGAGACCATCAATAGAGGCAAACACTGACATGACAGATATTGGTATTATCTGATAAGGATTATACAGCAGCCATCATAAAAATGCTTCAACAAGCAATGACAAATACACTTGAAACAAATGAAAAACCAGAGACTCTCAGCAAAGAGGTAAAAATTCTTAACAAATAGAAGATATAAAGAAGAACCAAGTGGAAATCTTAGAAATAAAAAAGACAATAACTAAAATATAAAAATCAATGAATGGGCTCAATAGCAGAATGGATGTGACAGAGGAAGAAAATCAGGGAACTTGAAGGCAGAAATTACCCAATTGAACAACAGAGAGAAAAATGACTGAAAAATGTTTATACAGAGCCTCAGGAAACTGTGGGGCTAAAACAAAAACCAAGGAAACTATTTAAGCAATTAAATACTTTTCAATGCAAATTGTATTATTTGAAGGTCTTTGTGGTTGGCCCTTTGGCTGTTGAAGAGTGATCATATGAAGGACATCTTGGTGTACTAATCTTATACCACCACTGGACCCAGAGGCTAAAAGTTAATGTAGCCTTTGAAGGTTCACAGGTAGGAACAAAAAGGTATAGTCAACACAGTGGGAAAGTCAAGTTCATTGTGTCATCTATCATGTCCACCAAGAACATATGAAGAGATTAGTGACATATTCTCTTCAAATCTATGAAACTTCAAAATGAACCACACAATATAGAATAGCTCTGCTGCTGGCAGGTTCATTCTTGTGCACAGTGAGAAATTTTCTTATCATCCCAATGAAAAAATGCCTCATGTGTGCTAACAATTTCTCTGAAGTTTTACTAAAATGAGACACAATTTTAATAGTTTACAAGAAATACTTTTAAGACCATTTTCAACAGGATGGGAATATTTTTCTTTCTTTTTCTTTTCTTTTTTTTTTTTTTTTGGTACAATTGTCAAGTAAGATTTTTTACTACATAGGTATACTCAACTCACAGATCTTCCCTCAAAGTTTAACTTGTTTAAATCATTAAATCTGAAGAAATCTAATCTCAATTAAAAAAAAAACCCACGAGATTAATATTTGGCTTTTAAGGGGGCATACAGAAAAGGTAGAAATTGCTTCAGAAATATTTTTACTTCTCTTAATTTTTTTTTGATTAAAACAATAAGAAATGAAACTCCAAGTTAATAGGAATACAGAACCACTTTTAAATTTTATAAAAATCATAATGTAACATGGGCTATCCCAATCCCAGTAATTAGCCTAGTGTTTGTCAATGTCATCAAGCTTGCTTCCAATAAGATTCAAAATTCTGGTGCCCAGACAACATTCACAGGTACTTCTCACTTAAGAGAAGTAGAAAAGCACTTTTACGTATGGTCTGTCTTTATTCCTCAAAACTTGAACAATGTATACAATTCTTACACATTCAAATACGTGCAAGATTCAATAGGACACCCTCCTACTGTCATGCAGATTCCACAAGTTTCCCTGAGATGTCCGTATCACAGAGGATTCCATTCTAACTCTGGTTGACGTTTCCCAAACAACGCAATAGCGTGGATAGAGGACTGTAAAAAATATAAGGTTCTCTCAAAAAGATTCGTGGTATTTTTAGAATAAACAACATTACTCTTCTTGGCTAAATGTTGGCAAATGTGTTTTCAACTTTAAAATGTCTGTAACTGGCTCTTTTCTTTCTTGATAGAAGCTGAGTCCAGTGATAAGTTCAACATCTCTGATCCGTGCTCTGTGTAACATAAGTAACTCTTCAATCCATAAGGAATCATGCTTCCCATACTAAGAAGAGGAGAAATAAAAAACAAAAATCACCAGAGAATATAGACAGTTCACTTCTGTAAGCTCTTAATCTCTCCATCATTCATGACATTTTGGCTTTGAAGTAGCAGAAACTCCAAAACTTGTTAGTGATAATCCCCACTCTTGAGAACTTCACTCTGTAATTGATAGTAGGCATGATTGTTTAATGTAGGTGTATCACATTTGGGAAAAAGAAAGTATACCCGGTTATGCATTGCATAGGTGCAAGAAACTTCAACAGTGCAGGGTTAAAATAAATATTGGAAAACAGAAACCTAATGGCATGGTAGAAAGAATATGGTAATTAAAATAAAGAAGTCTGGATTGAGTCCTGGTTCCACAACTGTCCTATCAGGAAAACTAAGGCAAGTTATTTAACGTGTGAGTCTTGAGTTCCTTACCCGTCATGGGGTAATTCTGAGGAACAAATGCAATGCTGTGTACAAATATACTATACAAGTACTAGTTCTTATAAGAATGTGTTATCTACCAGTTTCATGAAGAATGGGTTAGGGGAACTTCATTTCTGGTAAAAAGAGTTAGTCTTAGGAGATAAGAGAGAAGAAAATAAACGGCAGATATTTGGAACATGGAAGCAGGGATGGTAGCTGAAGCAGGTCACAAAGATGGAAATCATACATCTATGTGTTTGTATGAGTTTTTCTGAAATGGCCATTAGAGATCGGATATAGAAAGCATCTACCAGTTGGCGGGCTATGATTGTACTTTAAAGACATCCTTCAATAAAGGTTCATATATTCTTGGGACATTATTAGTCAAAAATGATAAATATAGACTTTTCACATAAAGGAACAGACCAACAATCTCTATTTTTATGTAAGCCTCCAACCACCCACTACCTAATACTCAGCCCCTCTCCCTGCAGCAATCCTTGGAGACAATCTTTTGGCTCTAAGGGGAATAGCACTGACTCAGTGGACTGCTTGACTACTGGGTAACCGCCATCTTCTCCGACATTCACAGGAAAGGATAAAAAATACATGCATGAAATCTGTTCTCTCAGGGTAATATCTTTACTACTTCAGAGCTGAAACCAAAGGAATCAATAAATATATATGATAAACCTTACACTAGTCCTCTCTCTTGTTCAAGTCCAATATTTAGCATCTTCTAGGCACATTGCCATTGTAGAATTTGATAAAATGTTTTCATGTAAGAGGAAACATTTGGAAACATAATAGCATTTGGAATGGTAGAGCGGGAAAAGGAACTCAGTGCCTGACTACTAACACTTAACAAACATTCTTTTGGTCAATGAGACAAAAGCATAAGGCTGTAGCTGCCCTTTTACTTGGGGGGAGGGGATCAAATTGAGAAAGGATTTCTAAAGAAGCAGAAGACACCTTTAGCCCATGTGGGACAAAGCCACATGCTAAGAGTGATAGAACAGAAAGACAGGAAAGGTATGTCTCCCTAATGGTGCCACTGACCCAAAGCAAACCCTAACCCTAATAAGGAGGAAGAACCCCTGATTTTCTTAAACCACTCCAATGGGGTTACTATTATTTGCTGCGGACCCAATTCTAATTGATAAATCTAGTGACAACTTAATCTCTCAAAGAATGAAGAAGGGAATAGTTGGTATAATCCAACAGTGCCCCCGAATATTGACCTTTTAGCAGTTAGATATTTATCAGGCATCCAACCAGATAAACTTCTGCTATTCTATATTCGATTCTGAAGAATAAGGAAAATTAACTTAGTGAGAAATGTGTTCTATGAGAAAGTCAAATAATTCTGAAAGTTTGTCACAGAACACAGAAACACTACCATCAAGGACAGCAAATGAGTCACTGTATTCCTCTCCCAAGCCCACAGCAGGGATCACAGTTTTGTTCACTGCTGTGCCCTCAGTACCTAGAGCATCTGACAACAAATATTTATTAAAGGAATGAATAGCTGGCTCAAAGAAGTATTGAATGAATGAAGAAATGCAGCACTCTTTCCTGTTGAATTCCCACTTGATCTCAAGATCCTTTTGACCACAGAAATCCAGATATCCACCCATCCGTTGGGACTGGTATGAAAGGTAAATCTTATTGCCAACTCAGGTCTAGACTTATTTGTGTAACTTCAATGGAAAATAAAAATAGGAAATGTGGGAAGTACTCTGAAAGAAAGACATTTTGGCTCATGATAAGGAAAAACTTAAAAACTGCGAACATTTTATATAGTTTTGATATTCAACTCTATAATTTGTATGTTTAAAATTCTGAGCAAATAAGATACTATAAAACAATTGTTTCCAAACAATCTCTGGAATAACAGTAGAATAAGACTTTTATAATAAAATGACATACAGAAAATTCCTTTGAAATGTTGTTTAACCACAATTTTTATAACAGTGCTGATACGTTTGGAATGGTAAATACAGTTTTAAAACAAGAGAAAATTCACCCTTCAAATAAGTCTAGAATTCCATGGCCAAGCTGTACAAATTTGATTTTGATCTGATTTATAGTATCTTTATAGACAAGGATAGTCTTCTCCAAAGATATGATCTTAAATATTTAAATGAATACTACCCTGTAATTCCATAGTCCATGAATATTCAAAAGTTGTGTTTTCTCCCATAGTAATGAGAGATATAAGTTACATGTCCAAAGATACAGGTGTTTGTACTTTCAATATATAAGATAAACATACAAAGACTACTTACCGCACAGCCCTCCCTGTTGTCAGCCCTGTGAGGCAAGATGAAAGCTAAGGGATCTAAGTTTTCACAGTGCAAGGGAACCTGGGATTTATTTTTACAACTTGTTAGCACGATGAAGAAGTGAGTTGGAATCATAATTTCTTGACTACGGATAATTTTGATGTTTCTGAAAAATATGTCAATATTTACTTAAAAAAAAGAAATATCTTCCTTTTCATGAACATTTCAGTAGAGTAAGGCTTTAATACAAGATATCTCAAAAGCAAATTCAGAGAAATAATTAAATGTATTATAACAAGTTAGCAATCATAATCCTTCAACATCCTCCTCTACATTGAGAGTAATAATTAGAAGACAGATAAACGACAGTCTGAATTATTTTTATTTTCTATAGAAATGTTTTGAACTCTGAAATTCTTTGAAATTTTACCTAAAGACACTGGAATTAAGACACTAGAGAAAATATCGTTTTTGAACACCTATGACCAAAATTCTAATCTAAATCATTACTTATTGCCTTTTAAATTCTATGCCATTGTGAACAAATAGCAAGCACAGAGCGAACAGGTTAGAAATGTGTGATTCTCATTCCTCCTGAGAGGACATGTGGATTCTTCTTTGTTTTAATTGGATATTTTCTCCTATCCTAATAACTTAATTTTCTTTTCATATTGTAGCATATTATCAAAGACTTCCCAAGCAGCTTTACTTTACTATCATTCTCCTACTTTTGATTTTAAATCTGTGTTTGTTTTTCAGCATCTTTCAAAACTTATAGTAGTGGAGTCATTGTTTTCAAATAATGATCTTATATGGAATCATAATATATAAAACAGATTTCAAAAGAGGGCTCTAACTGAAGCTATATGTAGGATGCATACGAAGTTCTCCTTTACCCACTCTAGTGTTTTACCCTGTAAGGCAGCACCTCAGGGGATATAGTAATAAAAATTTAAAAATTGCAATTTACAAACAGATGTGCTCTCAGATATATGTGTGTAAATCTCATATATCTAAGTCAGCCTTGGAGAGCGGGAATGTTCTGGGGAAGGGCTGAATCTCGGTGGAGTCTTTCGTCTTTTTCTTTTACTCTTGATAGCAAAATTGCTTCCAAAAAACTCATAAATATTGTTTTAATAATGACCAACCATTTTCTAAAATGTTCTCCCTCTTTCCCTCTCTCCTGTTACAAAAACAGCACCACTGATAGTTTCCTTGAGATGGTCACTCAATTATTCTCCTCCAGCCAGAGATGGAGCCACGACATTTGCCTAAAGGCTACCAGACTTGAAACACTGTAGGTTTTGAACCCTTCTCATTCCTAGACTCAGGGTATCTGTAGCCACACCATCTAGTCCTTCACCTGACTGACAGTAAAATAAAACAGCATTTTAATAATTAGCCACCTAGAGACCTTAAACATGAGTTTTAGCGTTTAAACTGAGCTCAAGGATTAATCAACTGAACTGAATGGGGGGTGAAACACTATTTCTTTTACCTAAAAAAGAATACTTCACTGAACATTTAGCAAAACATCCAAATTAATCAGGTATCTCAAGAGGCTTCCGCTGTAGTCAAAAATGTCATGCACATAAATAAATAGTACTGGATAAGAAATGTTCTGCTGACTCAACTGCATGGGGGTCCCATTTGATAGCTGACATACATATTTTTTGATATGGGTTCTTGCTATGTTGACCAGGCTGGCCTCGAATGCCCGAGTTTAAGTAAACCTCCTACTTCAGATATCCTGAGGTGGGATTATAGGTGTGCACAACCATGCCTAGCTCAATAACTATTTTTAAGAGTAATGAAATATGTTCTTACTGCCTCAGAGTCTTTGACGAATCATAAAGTCCATCATAATCAAAGTCAAATACAGGACCGCTGACAACATTGACACCATTTCTTTCCTTTGCGTACCTCCGCAGTAAGGTGTCATGAAAATAGTGCCATATAACTGAAATAAGAAGGACGACAATGCAGTTTCAAAAGAAGGTACCGTGCTGTCAGGTGAAATAAATTAACAGCATGATTCAAAATCAGCCTCAGTAACAATTAGAGATAAAGTCAAGTTTGGCTTTAGTCTTTGGGTGAGGCCAAAAATCCTTTGTTCAACTTCGGCCTTTGGAAGGACTGCTAGAGTAGGGCTGAATCCAATTCTATTTCAGGCATCCCTGAACAATGTGACAATTATGACAAACATGGGATCACACAGCTTTATTAAGCATAACAACATCACAAACACAAGGTACATTATTCAGATTTACTATTAATATCTGAATTCCCTTTGAAATATTCACAAGTATTCTGAGTGCAAATTGGAGTAAAAATCTCCTTATATGTTCATATTTTGATATTCTAAACATCAATTTAAATATAATTATATACTTATTTTTCTATGAGTCAAATGCTCCAATAGTTAATGATGATGTGAAATCTATTCATTTTAAAAACAAAACAACTATCAAGAACTTCCAAATAGTTAAATAGGAGAATAGACTGAAAGTTATTTTATGTGCTAGTAGGCTGTAGTAGCTAGATAATTTTAAAAAGAAAATCATATACTTTTCACCAAAAATGTTTATAAACCTTTCAATACACAGCAAAATAGATATTGGAATATATAATAATTCTAATATTTCAGTTTTTTGTGTATTAGTATTCAAAGTATAAACAAATCTTTAAGAATGCATTGGGTATTTATCCATTTAATTTAGACCATTAAGTCTATTACATGTGAATTATTCCCATACGTACAGAAATTCATTAAAATTATAAAATAGAAAGTTAAAACATTTTACCTTGAAAACTCGGGTACATTGGTACTATGTTAGTAAAAAGCAAAGCTTCAGAATATATTTGACTTGAATTTTTACTTAGTCCTACAAAGAAAGGAACAGAAAAACTTTTCTCATTGTTCAGAGATAACATTACAAATTATCGTTTTTCATATGGGAGGGTGGAGGGAGAATTTTACAAAATTAGCTGAGTATCATCTGAAACCTGTAAAACTTTCCTAGGTACTGAGTCAAGGGAGAATGTAATGTGTTTGATCAAGTCTTAAAAAAAAAAAAAAAAAAATTAAGTCTTTTCATTTCAAAATGAATTCATCAAAGAAACAAAAACTTCTTTATTAAGAAGAGCCCCCAATTACACATATTTATCGTATGTGCCTTATTTCAACTAACATGCATTGTGTAGAAAATCTTCTTTCCTTAAACTTTTTCATAGTGAAAAGGAAAAAGAGAATATCTGGCTTCAGAACAACACCTACTATCCAGAACAAACATCACAAGGTGTCGGCCTCCAAATGCCATAAAAGGCTGCTTTGTGTGAATTTGAGGCTTGGACCTGGTCTATTTTTATAATGCAATGGCCAAGTTCTGACTTCAGACACTTACTCTGGGGACTGAACTGGATGCTGAGGGCATCTGAGCACCTGGAGCCTTATGAATTTTGCCTTTTCAGGCTGGCCCCAAAATGTCTTCTCATTAACATACAAATTTGCCACTTTAAAAATAGAATGGTTAGATTCAAAAAGATCATTCCCTGGAGGCTCTGTAACAGTGAGAAAGCAAGCAGACTTTGGGCTCAACCTTTATTTACTTCTCTGACACATCACATTGTCTTTTTAAACAACAAAGTAACATCTCCTTCCTAAGAACCCTGACATGGCCTTCTAATTTCATGGGGTTTCCTCAAATTCTGCTTAAAAGAAATGCAGAAAAGAAAGGTAAAGAGTGTTCTCCCTCGAGTATCTGCACTAAATCAACTACTCTCCAAAGAAAAAGTTTAATAACATTCACTCATTAGACGATTAACATTTCTCCCTGATAGTTATATATTTCAAATTCACCATTTTCATCATTAAATAAACACCAAGAAAGGTGATATATCAATTTTCATCAGTGAAGGTAATACATTGTCTCATAATGGATGATGGATTTACAAACAAGAAAGGATAAGAAAAAGGGATTGGGTGAGGAAGACACTTACGTGGTGGGGCAAGGAATCCATAACTCACTCTGGCGTTGTTTTTATAAAATGAACATTTATGGACAGGACTAAGAGAAACTCGAAAGTCCTGGTAGAGACAATTGGAAATGTCTTCTGTAGAGAAGGTGTCCTGAAGAACAAAGTAACAAGAACCATCAGGGGTCAGGCATAGAGACGAGAAGGAAATTGCTTTGTCAATAAAGGGGAGCTGTATCAGGACATCATGAAGCTCTGGTTGTCTGTTCGTGTCCTCCGCACCCCTTTCCTACGGGTATACTCATCTTTTTTTCTGACTGAATTGTAAAAATTCTTTCCAATAGTAAAGAAAGGGCTTGAGATTCGTATGTGCAAAGACTTTTGTATTCTGCAGTGATACGTTGGTTTATCATGTTTTTATCCACACAATTTTAGCCTTTTATATAATAAAAAGCTCAGTTTTTGAGATTTAAGTCTATCTTCCATCCACGAATATGAAGCCAAAAGTTGCTGGGGGAAGAGAGAAAAGCTACTGAAGAGCCATGTAAAAACCTCCACTATGGTGATGAGTGTCAATTCATGTAGCTTTAATTGTCTAAGAAAACTGAAAATTCCAAGGAAGTCAAAGAACACCATTATTAAGGTATTAAACAGTAATAAATAGGACTTGGTGCCAAGAAAACATTATGTAGACTGCTGTATATTATTAATACAATATCAAGCTAAAAAAAAAAAAAGCATTTAAAGGCCATCCTCCAAAATTAAAATCAAAGTTCAAGGAACTTTACAGAAATATGTGATGATGTGTATACATATTTTTTCAACATAGAAATTACAGATACATACGCCTGTCCCTGTCTTTTTATTTAGTAACTTCACAGAGTATTAACAACAGTTATTGTTTAAATCCAACTGGTAACCTCAACTATACTCTCTGAAATTCCTTTTTCCATTTCCTAAGGGTATCCTATAAGCTAGCCGGTCATTTTGGTTTCTGAAAATCTGGTCAGTCTGGTTTAAAATTTCAATTCCATATAAGATCTAAATCTCATCTCCTCCCTTTTTCCTTTGAAAAACTATCTCCTTCGCCACTCCTCTTTCTCCTGCAGCACCTGGGAGCTATGACTATGGGGGGAGGCTAGTTCTCTTCTGCGATACTTCTTTGGAGACCAGACTCTTCCTGTCCTGGTGGTGGAAAGGGGGAAGGTTCTGGGGTATCCCTGGTTTGGGGTGGGGTCTTTGTGTGGGTGCTCTATGCAGAGATGTTACTGAATTCTGAGGGTTTTCTTCATCAGTGAGGACCCCCTTAGATTCGGTAGCTGAGGGATAGATCTGTGCTCACACAGCTATGTACTGAGAAATGAATAACTGTAACTGATTTCATGACATCATAAATCAGAATCATAAAATATTAGAACTTAGTGGAAAAGATAAGAGAGGATCATTTATACCCCTAATTTTAGAGAAGAAATCTGCCCTGAGTCTCAAATGCCTTCTTATTTGTAAAGCTAGAACTAAATTTTTTTGACTCTGTGTCAGAATTCCTCTAATCTGGGAGCTTATTATGGGGCCAAGATTAATGGTGAGAAACTATGCTTTCACTGTTTTGCTTCCTGATAACCTGAAACAGTCACAGGTAGCTAAAGAGGTGACAAATACTTGCATTTCTGCTGACAGTGTAGGATGTCCAAAGGGGCATTAGGAAGTCCTCGCTGTATCCACTCACAAACCGGTGTTGATAAAGGAGACAGATGTTGTCTCCTTTTTGGAGAATTCTGGGTCTTCCATAGGGTAATATTTCATGCTTAATAATCTTCTCTTGGGTCATAGGGAAAAAATGAAAACAACCATTTAAATGTAGGTAGTATGCATCATAATGCCCTCATCTAACCCTTTCCTCTACTTAACCATATTGGAGATGTATTTATATTTATTTTTATTTATTTATTTATTTATTTGGGGGGGGGACAGAGTCTCACTCTGTTGCCTGGGTTAGAATGCAGTGGCACCATCAAAACTCACTGCCACTTCCAATCGCTGGGCTGAAGTGATCCTTCTGCCTCAACTTCCTGAGTAGCTGGGACTACAGGTGCCCACTACCATGCCCAGCTAATTTTTTCCATTTTTCGGAGATACGCGGTGTCTCACTCTTGCTCAGGCTGGTCTTGAACTCCTGAGCTCAAGTGATCCTCCCACCTCGGCTTCCTGGAATGCTAGGATTATAGGTATGAACCACCACACCCAGCGGAAGATACAGTCTTCACGATTAAAAAAATAAAAACCAGGCAGCGCCTTGGAGCTCAGTGGGTAGGGCACTGGCCACATACATCGCGGCTGGTGGGTTTGAACCCAGCCCGAGCCAGCTAAAATCAACAATCACAACAGCAACATAAAAATAGCTGGGCATTGTGGCAGGCACCTATAGTCCCAGCTACTTGGGAGGCTGAGGCAAAAGAATCACTTAAGCCCAAGAGTTTGAGGTTGCTGTGACCTCAACACCATGTGAGTGATACCATGGCACTCTACCGAGGGCAGCATAATGAGACTCTGTCTCAAAAAAAATAAAAATAAAAACCAGTTAGAAGGAGCAGAATCATAAACAATTAACAAAACAAATGGGGTTCACTGCAAGTTTTTCCTATAATAATACTGAAAGATCAGTGGAATATTAAAATATCCCAAGACAACACTACATGAAATTGCTAGATATTTATTCCAACTAATTAGAATATTACCAAAAATTCCTTAGCATTATTTTTTAAATTATTTTATTCAAAGTAATATGAGGATATAATTTTTAGGTTACATTGTTCTCACTTCCAGGGTAAAGTTTCATTTGTAGAAGAGCCCCCTCACCCAGGGGGTTTAGCATTATTTTAAATACTAATTCTCCAGGAAATACTCCAGAAAGCAAATTTTCTGGATGATACATGTACTTAGAAAGCAAAAGTTCAGAACTGAAATTATGAGACCAAACTGAATGTAACAATAACAACATAGATACAATTTATTACCCTTTTTCCTCGTGTAAAGTGCTTTGTTTACATCATCTAATTAATTTTTACATCTCCCTATGAATTAAGATAATAGGGATTTTACAGATGAGGAAACAGCAGCTTATAGGAAATACTTTTTCCATGAAGTCAATAGTTCCTAAATTCATACTCAAACTCAGATCTACTCAATTCTGAAACTGTTATCTTTCATCACCATACTTTGCTATCAGGAGGCTATCAAAAATTTCTCTAATTCCAACATTTACAGTAGGAATTTTATAGATAAGTACAAGTCAGGACTAATGTAGAATTTATTTCTTTATTCCAATAGGAAAAAAAAATGTGAACCAAGAAACTTACAGATCAGAGTGTATCAAAGGGACTCTGAACATTCAAGTCACAACCAAAAAATTTCATCAGTTGTCTGCATATTCTTACGTTGTATACAAAAGTTATAAAGAAATAACTTTTAATAAATCAATATATCATCTCTTATAATTAATAAGCACCACAAAAACATCTCTAGCCCCTTAGTATTTTGAAATTAAAAATGAAGAACCAGATGAGATTGGAACATGGGTATTTTATATGGAAATCTGATTCTTTACTAAAACCCTATAAAAATCTTCAAAAGTTCAAAATACCTCCATCATGTTCATAAGGTATGATTCAGCTTCCACTAAACACATTACATCTCTTTCCACTATAAAACAGACTTTCTTCCCCTATGACTAACAGGCTACTATCCAGCATAGAGATCGCTGTGTCTCATCAGGGGTTCCTCCATCACTCCCCTTATGTTATGGCCACTCTCTGATAAGGCCCCCAAAGCAATCTCTGTGCTTCCCACTGTCAAAAGAGAAAGCTGTCACATTCCAAGCTTGAGAGGAACATGGCTTACCTACTTCCGCGGTCACTTGAAACTGTTTCTGAAAATCCTCGATCGGCAAAATCTACAAAAGTTTATAAAACTATTTTTGAGGATCAAGAGACAGGTTTTAATTTTGTGACATACAACTTCTACAGTTTAATTAAGCCAGCATAGAACAAAGATCAAACTGAGTAGGATAAAGGGAGAGGATTGACAACTGCAGAAAGACAGAATTGTTAGCATAAGCTTAACACCAGTAATTAAAAGATAAAAATACAATGGCTGCTTTATAATTCTTATCTATAGCCACCTAACAGTTTTTAGGCCTAAGTCGAGTCTAATACAAAATGGAAAGCATAAAATAAACTGCTCTCCAAACTGCTACCTTTCTGGATATTATCAGTTTTGTTCATAACCCATCTGGTCTTTTTATCTTCTTACAACTACCATATATTAAGATAGGAGTAAAAAAAAAATAAAAATATTTTTATCCTCCCTAAATTTATTTTATTGATTGATTAATTGGTTGGCCATGAGATTGTGTCTCACTTTGTTGCCCAGGTTAAAGTGCAATGGTATCACCACAGCTTACTGCAACCTTAAAGTCCTGGGCTCAAGTGACCCTCTTGTTTCAGCCTCCCACATAGCTGGGACTACAGGCATAAGTCACCACATCCAGCTAATTTATGTTACCTTTTGTACAGATAGGGTCTCAGTATTGCCCAGAATGATCTTGAACTCCCGGCCTCAAGCAGTCCTCCCACTTTGGACTCCCAAAACAGGTTCTCAACCTGCGGGTCGTGACCCCTTTTTAACAATGAAAATACACAGCGGCATTAGGAAGGTTGAGAACCACTGTGCTAGGATTACAGGTGTAAGCCACTACGCCAAGCCTTGCCCCTAAATTTAAAATAGGTTGAAATGTACTTTAGAGAAGGAACATTTGGTTTACTTTGTGCCCAAGACCTCACTGCTAGGATAATGGTCCAGATTTCCCGATTCAAGATACTCAAGAACTCAACTAGACTTCTCTCCAGCTGCACCCCCATTAAGCCACAGTACCAAGGGATAAAAATAGAACTGAAAAATGCAACCAACTAGGAAGACAAAAGATAAATTATAAAAGATCTGCATGCGCTCCTAGAATTAAAAACAGATACATATTTACCCCTCAGAAATTGTAATTTGATTAAGTAGTTCCACAGTATATGCTGGATGGCAGGTTCTATAAAACTACATAGACTGGGCTAAACTTCCATATGATACCTACCGAGGGGTTACATGAACAGCTAAGGTTGTCTCTGGGGCTTGCTGTGAAGGGACAGTACTGTGGGGTGTATGATTCTTTGGGATGTCTTGGGGTATAAACAGGATTCTTTAGAAGGTGGTTAAGACTTCCATGGGTTCCATTATTAGGAGAAGGTGTCAAATTCATTAAATCTGCATAATTTCAAGAATGATAAAGAATTAATTAGAAGTTTCAAAACCTAATAAACAGTAGACTTGTATTATGAGCTTTACTTCTTTTTAACTAAATACGTATGAGTCCTTTTTAACTAAAATAAAACTCTCTTGGGGTTTAGAGTATTTATGACTGCTTTTCTTAATATAAATACTGATAAGTATGCTGTACTTCACTATAAAATTTATGAGTGTTGAAGTGTACAGTCAGTACACTTACCATCTGCTGAATGTGTATGATGTGTCAATCACTGTGTTAATATATTTTCCTATTTTACTGCAAAATAGTAAGTTATCATCAATATTTGGTAGATGAGTAATTAAAGGATTTTGCCCAAGGTTTCAAAGTTACTGATGTCATAGACCCAGGATTCAAACCAGCTCCGAGTCCAAGACTCTTGCCTCTCCCCACCATCCTAAAATGGGGTCTTGTGCCATCTCTTAGGCTAGTGTGCAGTGGCATCATAGCTCATAGCAATTTCAAACTCCCTGACCTTGAGTGGTTCTCCTGCCTCAGCCTCCTACATAGCTGAGACTATAGGCACGCACCACCATACCTGGTTCATTTTTACTCTTAATAATAATAACAGCAAAAACTTATAAAGTAAAATACTTACCATATACCAGGTACTATTTTAAGCATTATAAGGATATATTAACTTATTTAAAGTATTACAGGCTCCCACTAAAAGAATTACACTTAGGACATACTTAAGGTTTATAAATGCTCGGTATCAATATCAGAAAAACGTAATAATATTTAAAACTCAATATCCCCCCCCAAAAGTGCTAATCAGAAGGTACTGAGTAAATCAAGAAACGCCCCAATGGGTTCTCCTTCCTTTCTATAATCACGACATTGACATCCATCCAACTATTATCACTACTGGAGGTTCTACCTGCTCTGTCTACCTTTCACCATCCCCAATCTCGTTTCCCTTCTAGTGCTAGTCTGATTCAAGAGTCATATAATTAAACCCAGGGCACAACGAAGTGAAAGACACTGGGGATGTACAGATCACCCCACTGTGCAGGTTGTACTTCACAGCATACAGCCTAGTGGATAAAACAAGTAAGTCAAAAGATAGTATGTTCCCCATATCTCTTCAGTGACTCTGGATCGGGAAGAAGAAAGGTGAAAATATGTCTTACCTTACCTTCATCTCCACAAGGTGCCCACCATACGACCCACTTTTGATAATCCTATGTCAGCTCTGCTTTCAGAAAGGATGGAAGCTACTTGTTCACACTTACCACACATTAAGTTATAGACTTCAATATTTTCAAAGGTGTCAACCTCAATACCATGCTTGAATCCAGGTCCATAGCCAATAAAAAGGGCCTAGAAGGCCAGAAAAATAACAGCTTATCAGTAAATTTTTAGTTATGTACACACTGTGTTTCCCTGAAAATAAGACCTAGCCAAAAAATAAGCCCTAGCAGGATTTTTATGCATTTGTTAAATATAAGCCCTACCCTGATAATAAGACCTAGTGATGGACGTGGCTATGCAGTGTATCCACATAGCCATGCCATCCATTTTGGTGTGGAGAGGAATATATCCCCTGAAAATAAGCCCTAGTGTGTCTTCTTGAGAAAAAATAAATATAAGACAGTGTCTTATTTTCAGGGAAACATGGTAGTTGATAAAAAATTTATATTATCCACATTGTACATATACAAACTAGTTATGTTAAGATAAGGGAAATATACAATGCCCAGTGGACCTTGTAGGATAATGTTTTAACCCCCATTATGCATATAATCTAAGGATATCTGGGGTATTTCTCTTAGTTTTACTACAATTCTTGACAATCAGGAAAGAATGGATGAGAAAATCTTTTCATCTATGACAAGATATAAATCTCACCCTACCCACCTGACGCAGTGCCACAAGGATCATATTAAATAAATATTTTGACTGTGTTTTGAAAATGTTAAAGTCTAAGTAAATGTAAGATATTATTTCTCTTCAGAACATAAGTATAACACCTTGTTGTCTATTAAATCGCTACTTTCTTTTATTAGAGAGCAATATTCTCAATAGAGCCGAAATAAATGCAAAGTAATTATTAGAAATTTAGTAGGAGATAAAAGTCACACACTCATGAAACATGAATATAAAATTTTAACAACAGTCTTTACTGTTATGTTTTAAGGAAAACAGCTCTAAACTATACTAAAGAAAGTACATGCTCCATAAATTCTCATTCAACACATATAATCACCGTCTGTTTATAAGTCTAAAGCTTTATATATCAGTTTTCTACAGATTTAATCCTGTTCTTTTTTAAAGTACAATCAGTGTGACAGGTTTACTCACTTGCATATTTGCAAATGCATTGTCAGAGCCATGAAATCCATTTCCACAATACTTCCTTTCTGAGGGATTCCTAATTTTGACACATACAAATGAATAATGTAAAACCCATTCATAAAACACAATTTATAATCATAACATTTTCATTAATAAAGAATAAATAACTATGGTGTTAAACATACAGGCAATTAAATGCACTTAGCTTTGAAAAGCAGTAAGGGGTCGCCTGCACCTTTTATTTTACAGACAGCTCAAGTATAAGCCATACGGCAGAAGGGAGAAAACCACCGCCATTGAGGCAGAAGTGCTTCTGAAACTTTAGACCATTTAATTATCTTCCCTTGGTTTCAATTTCTCAGTTGTAAAAATTCAATGATACGCGCTAAGAAATGCTTGGAGAACAGTATTTAGATATTGACTCTCCCCTGATGGTAAGAATCATCTGTTCTTTCATATTCTTTTTTTAAACACTGGAAACCCAGCACAGAGTGGAGACAAAGGAATTCTATCGACAGAATTCTGGTTTACTGTTTAGGTTTTGCTTGACAGGAGTTATTGATCATGACTGATTTCTTGGCAATCATCAAAAGTTAATAAATAAGTTTTGAGATATTAACATTAACCATCCAAATAATTTCCCAAATACACCAATTAACTAAGGCTAATTGATATATGTGAAATTAGAATAAGAAGAATGAAAAAGAAAACAGCTGTGTATAACAAAGACAGTAGCTCATTACAATAAGGTTCAGTGTTTTTACCAAATGAAGACTGAAGATGAAGATATGGTTAGACAGAACTGTAATGTATAGAAGAGATGTGAGGGCGAAAGGTGACGTATGAGAAGTAATAAATCATAAGAAGTAGTCAATATGGATAGGAATCAATCAATCAATATGGATATGAAAGGCCAGAGCAACAGTTCTTAGCCAGGGGTGAGTCCCCTTCCCCTGGGATTTCTAACTGTGTGCTATGTCTGGAGACATTTATAGTTGGCACAGCTGGAAAGGGGTGCTACTTTCATCTAGTAAGCAAGAAGTCAAATACCCCACAATGTACAGGACAGTGTCCTATAAGGGTTAACAACTATATTACAGCACATTCAAGTGAAAGTACATCTTAGACAGAGGCGCCTAGCGACCTTGCTGATTAAGAAAAATGATACAAAAGACCAGAGGCGGTTTAACCCGTGCACACATTCCAAAGAAATTTACTCATATCACTCTCCACTTCCTTCCTACTTCATCCTCACAATAACTCCATTTAGAAGTATCCCTCATTCCCCCACTAACTAAACCTATATAAACCCCTACGTATTACAATAAACAGCTTCAACTCAGTCCCTTTCCCAGTGTGTCTGTCTTTGTCTTATTTGTCAATTCCCTTTCATACACGACTCCCCAAACCGCCGCCACCCGCTGGTCGGGAGGCGGCAGTGTCCCACAACAAAGAATCATCCAACTCTAATTTATGCCAAGGTTGAGATATCCTAGGCTAGGATGAAAAGAATCATACAGAGGATGACCCCACCCTCCCCCGCAAAAGAAAATGTATATATATTTTAAGAAAGGAAAAAACTGTATTAAAATTATAATACTCAATATATACCGATAACAAAAGATGACTACAAGTCACATTTGACTTCTGCAATTACAAGAGATGCTTCCCATTGCTAATGGAATTCAATTCAACTTTGAAAAGCAATACACAGGTAACATCTCTTAAAATGTGTATACATTTTTTGGCACTCTCGATACTTGCAGTTTCCACATCACAACATTGTTTAAAAGGGCCAGTTACCTTGAATCAACTAATAGATCAGGCTAAGTGTACCTGGGAGACTGTCAGAACTTACAATGCGAGTTGCCACTGAGGGTCCAGATAGAATGTCAAGGGCTCAATTCTTTCACTTTTGGCAAAGTGGAAACGCTTAGGTAAGAATTGTTTCAAGTAGGGTTTGAAATGCTGGTTTGGTTCCCGGCACTAAAATTATAAAAGGCAATGGAAAACAGTTATTTTTATATTATCTGTAGTATAAAATTTTCCTAAAATTGTTTTCTAGCACCACATGAATTTTTTTCCTACACTTTACCAGCCTGCTTAATAAGTCACAAAAGGAAAACTAAGAATTCTTACTACTATCTAATGTAGAAGTGAATATTCCGAACTAGTTTAAATTTTTATAGGAAATCATGTTACCATTGCATAAAAGCTACAGGAGTCTTAGTCACTAGATTATACTTTCAAACACAGACTGTTGGGACATGGCCCTTAAGATCTTTAAAAACTATAGAACATGTATATGTTACCCAGATACTAAAAAATTCTAGTCATTCAATTCCAAGAACAGATAGTGAAACTTTTTTCTGTATTACATAAAACAATAACTAGACAATGGAAAAATAAAGATACTCACAGAAAGATTTTTGGCAAGGCCTTCATAATTAACTGTAGAGGTAAAAATGTTAAGAAAATAATTGATGGTATGGTACAGTTAAAAATAAAAATAATACAATAATACAGACTATGGGACTCAAACTCTTATGTTTAAATGCCAGTGTAGGTTTCCAACAGTTCATTTAAGTCATTCCATACTAGTCTTGGAAAGAAATAAGGCAGATGTATAGGTATCGCCCTGTAATGAAACCCATGATCTAGTGTCATGTTATTAAGTCAAAAGGTAAGTTATAGAACATCTATGTAGTGCATAGTATCCATCCCTCTGTTCACCCATGTCTGTTCACTCATCCATCTCTTCATCTACCTGCCCTTCCCTTATCAAAACCATCCATGCAAACACCCATCCAAATATCTATCCATCTATCAATATATCCATGTAGATCTAGTACCATTTCACTGGGTAAAAGTCAAACTGTTGTGTTGTACCCATGCATAGCAAATATTTGAGAAGATACATTCCCAACTTAACACTGGTTATTTCCAGAGAGGGGAACTGAGTAGGGAGGTAGAAAGATTTCGGGTGGAAACTGTTACTTTTTCCTTTGTGTGCTTCAATATTCAATCATTACCCAGAATTTTCAAATAAGAGGGACACACGGAAACTTAGAAGAAAGTGCAAGTTTTAAACTAAATTTAGACTGGTTTTAAACTAAATTCACAGAATAAGCCCTTGCTTGTACTTAGGGTACTTTGTGCTATAAAACAATAACTGTCTAGCTTTCTAAATTTCCTATTAGCCATATTTTATATAAGGTTGAGAAAATTATCCAGATAAAGGAACACAATCCTTTTACATAGGAATATAAAACATATTCCAGATAAAGGAATATAATATTAGGTTTTATATAGAATATAATCCTTTATCTGGATAATTGTCTATCTATAAACTGATAATTATATAGTTTTTGCTTTAAACTTGGGGGCCTAATTGAGGTAAGGGTAGGGCTAAAGTTTAGCTCTCCTATCCTATCCCAAAATTCTCTGGGGACTGTATAGTTTTTCTAACAAGTTTTACAACAACCATGTGCTACTTTTCCAAATTTAAAACAAAATGATGAATTAAAATAGGTCATTGGGCTTATGGAGCCTGTACTTGTGCCATTGTGCTAATATATTTGCATAATTATTTTCCTGCAGTGAAATCCATTTTTCTTCTTTAATATTCAATAGTATCTTACTGCTGTTTCTGAACCCCATTTTGGTAACTGCCAGAAAAGCTTATTTTTCTTTCTCTTTCAAAGTTATCTGTAACAGAAAGATGATGTTTGCTCTACCTATCTGAAACTTTTCAAGGAGAGTAATCGAAAAGAGATCAGTAACAGAGGTGGAAACAGTTGTGAAAGAGGCCTGACTTACAAAAAAATGAATTTTTTTCCCCTAAATACTAAGATGGAAACAAAACAATGAATGTTTTTAAACATTTCTGGGCAGTTTGTGTTCCACATGTGGTAGAGAAAATGTGAGATTTCTTCATCCCTGTTTAAAAGATAGATTTCTTATTTGTTTAGTTAGTTTGGGAATGGTTTAAATAAGGCACTTCTGAGAAGATGAAACAGTTGCTGACAGAATTAATCACTCTGCCAGCAATCCTCCTCCTCATAACAGAATATTATGAAGCATCATTATTTATAAATATTTCAAGTTTCAATGAATTTTCTCTTAAACTTTTTTCTTCCTTTTTTTTTTTTTTTTTTTTTGCAGTCTTGGGCCGGGACTGGGCTCGAACCTACAACCCTTGGTATATGAGGCCAACACCCTACTCCTTGAGCCACAGGCACTGCCCTTAAACTTTTTCTACTATAATCTTTAACCTGATACAAGTAAAACACACACCACAACATAAAATAGCGCTGAACTCATCAAATAACACATTTAGCCAAAGAATAACAAATAGGTTATTTGTTACACAGATAACAAGGTTAGTCTTGTGTCCTTGCATCCAATCCAATCCCATAAGATCCCTTTAGGTACAAAAGATCTGCACTGAGGATTTAATCAATAAAAAAAAATTAACTTTAATTGATTCCCTTTAGTTCAGAAATATAATGTATCTCTATAATGCTTCTGTCTCGGTATCATAAATAAGGATACATTAGACTACAGTGGTCCCTAAACTTTCTGGCACCAGGGACTAGTTTCATGGAAAACTATTTTTCTACAGATGGGGTGAGGGGCATTAAATTCTCATAAGGAGCATTCAACCTAGACTCCGTACAGTACACAGTTTACAGTAGGGTTCATGCTCCTATAAGAATCTGATGCCACCACTGATCTAGTAGGAGCTGGAGCTCAGGCAGTGACGCCAGCAATGGGGAGCAGCTGTAAATACAGATGAAGAAGCTGTACTCGCTGGCACCCCGCGAGATGCTCACCACCTGCTGTGCGGCCTGGCTGCTAACAGGCCACAGACTGGTACTGGCCTGTAGCTTGGGGGTTGGGGACGGCAGCATTAGGGAAAAGTATTCTTAATATGCCATATTCAAAGTTACTATAGAGATACACTTACATGAATAGTATTTATCTGGGACATCAGCAGGTCTCAATCGAGCAGCAGGTCCATAAATGACTTTAATATTTTTAACATCTCCCAAATATTTATTCAGATACACGTATTTCTTACAACTGCCTTGTTCCATGCCTAAGGAAAAAAAGAATTCCAAAGCATGTTATAACTTTATTATTTTTTTTTACAAGAGCTGTGTGATTTTTTTCGAATACATAATCATTTACTACTTGTTTGTTACAGAATACGCAAGACAAAATACAAATAGCAAACAATTTTTTTTCCTTATTATGTTTTTACCAAAGTCTAAAAAAAAAAGATGACTAATATATATAAATAAAAGTAAAAAAAAATTTCTAAAAAAAAAAAGCAGATCATGCCAAGTTTTATAGACAGTAGAAACAGAAATACTTCAAAATCATTCTACTTAGTCTGGATACCCCTGATAGTAAAATTAGAAAAAATATATTATTATAAAGGGGAAATTATAGACATATTTCACTGATGAATAAGGATGCAATATGATAAACAACATATTGACATGTTGGATTAAAAATTGATGTTTAAGTAATATAGGTTGATCAAAATTAAATCCAATTTGTGTGACAATTAGTCATTATTAAAGCATGTTATAACTTTAATAAAAATTTAAAATGGAAAAATAGAATTTCTTTCGCTTCCAGAATTTAATTCATTAAACACAGGCTCAGCATTCATATTAAACACTTGATAGGTAAGACACAGAATTTCAGCTATATCCATAATTCTACTTTTCTCAAAATCTTTTCCCTTTCTTTACCCAAAGTTAGTTTAATATTTCTTCTTATTTATGTATTAAAATAACATTATGTGAGTGAAGAGGACTGTCTTCTCAGAGTTTTAGACTGAATATAAAAACCTAGTTATTTGTCCAAATCACCTAGGATATTATTAACTGGGAGTATATGACTAACTCAGGATCATTTCAGAACTGAAGCTTCTTTATCATGTAACTCCTGTTCCTAAAAACAGCTTTCTATAACTATTTCTGAATCAAATAACATTCACAACAAGAACAAAAACAAGCAAAAAGAACATTCTTTCTACTTCTTTGTAAGCATACTGCTTCTATTATCCCAAAACTATATATAAAATTTTGTTAACAAAGATCACAATAAGTAAAATTGAAATTAAAATATTAAAAAAACATTAATATATACTATCTCTAAAGTCAGACTTGTCATGCTAAAGAAAGTTGAAGAGGTAATAATCAGTTCCAATTGAATCTAAAAATGTTAAGTGACCAAAATTTAACATGGTGAAAAAAGACTGTTTTAACTATTCAAATTCCTGGTGTAGGCCTTTCCCAAATCAGATGATAGAAGCATTGTGGTAAAGGGGCTCTTAGCTTTCTATGAATTGTGTCTTATATATATTTACTATAATTTTTTCCTAAAGTCTTTCTGCAAGAAGTTACATCTTAAAAAAAGAACTATAACATTCAGAGGAGATGAAGAAACAAAAATCAATCAAGTATGCTTGTTAACCCAAATCGGAGTAAATGATGAAAACTTGGATTACCATGATCTGAAATAAGGATGATATTCAGGCACTTGTGCAAGTTCAGCTCTTTCAGACCATCCATCAGCATGCCAACCATTTTGTCGACTCTCTGCAAGGCTTTGATGACCTGAGAAAGGGAAGCATTCTGATGTGACACATTCCATACGAATGGCTATGTTTATATAAAGCTATCTCTGAAATAAGCATTTAGACAAAGTAGCACCCCCCAAAACAGGGTTCACAATACACACATCCGGCCAGGCTTTGGTCTAGACCCCATACTGAAGAGTCACTGAGGCTCACACACAAGCTATCCAGTATGGGAAATCTGGGCAGAAGAACTGATAGAAATCTGGGGTGAATCCTTTACTATGAAGGAAGAATGCGTATCTGTAAGTCTATTATTCCTTGGAATCACGTGGGGCTAAAGATAGCCAGACAAAGATTCTGACATGAGGGATCCTGGCAATACCTCTTCTTCCTTTTAACATAACCAAAAATATTCACAGATTTACTGCTTCTTTTCATATCTTAGGTCAAGGACATATATCAGAAGAAAAGTCAATTTAGGGATACAAGAAAACATGTTCAAATCATTTTCTAGATCTCGAGCTTCCTGTGCTCCAAGGTGAAAAATAACATGGCCACATGAAAGGCAAAAACAATATTTACTGTTTTACCGCACTACATGTATCACCAACATAGCTCAGAACTGGCTAAATCCCTGAAAGGGTGTCAGGTCAGATAAGAGGTTATCTTGAAAGCGTTAGTCCATGAGCTGTTTTCCTACTGCTAGTTTCCTAAAACTACTCATAAAGAAGAATTATTTGATAACCTCTGCACTTTTGATACAATATCCCATCTTTCAATGCTCAAGCTCTGTTGTAAGCATGAGATCCAGTGGACAGGACATTCTCCTAAAGAGAGTTCATACAAGCTTTCTTCTGCCATTTGACTTAATATCTTACATTTTCTTAGAAATCTGAAATCTTACCTGTTCATAAAATTCTCAAAAAAAAACTTAGTTTGGGGGCCAATAGAGAGGGAAGTGAGGTGGACTACAGCTTTGGAATTAAAAATTCAGAATTTAGTTCTTCATCATTTCAATTTAGCATGATAAAAAACATAAGCAAAACAATTCTCCCACCTTTTATTTTGTGTCAAGTACCTCCTTTGGTTTAGTGATACTGTGCACAAAACTCACCCTTTCTAGAAATCATAGAATTTTATACAATGGCCTAGAAACTGCTTCAAAGCAAGGTACAGTGAGATGACTAGGTTTAATGACGTAATCATTGGTAAAAATGTACTTACTTCACTGCTGACTGGTCCATGTGAATGGCCTGAAGAATCTGGTTCTTCTAAATACAGAGTGTAAAAGTGTGGTCTAAATCAAACAGTATCAAAATGTAATATTTTATGAACACATTGAAAAACAGAATGGAAAAAATAATTCAGCATTTGATAATGATTAAAAATTCTATAACACTGGGGTAAATAACTACAGTTTTAAAATTCTTCAAAATGTACCCACCGAAGTTCACTAAAGAGTTTGTTTGGATATATAACATCATAGGCAATAGTAGTTTTACTATAGTCTATTTTTAAATAATATGTAATCTCTATGAAACAAAGGTGTATTTACAATAGAAATTAATTGCCTACATACCTTTGATCTTCAGGAAGTTGTAGCCATTGAAGAATAGCTAAAATTCTTTCTTCAAAAGGTACTGAACTAAAGTGAAAGATAAACAGAATGAAACAGATCTGTGACAACTGTATGGATTTAAAATACAAACTTATCTTATTGAAAATAGCATTAAGAGGCTCAGCGCCTGTAGCACAGTGGTTATGACATCAGCCACAAACACCAAGGCTGGCCAGTTCGAACCCAGCCCGGGCCAGCCAAACAACAATGACAACTGCAACAAAGAATAGCCAGGTGTCTGTGGTCCTAGCTACTTGGGAAGCTGAGGCAAGAGAATCACTTAAGCCTAAGAGTTTGAGGTTGCTGTGAGCTATGACACCATAGCACTCTACTGAGAGCAACATAGTGAGATTCTGTCTCAAA